AATTTCAATAGGAACAATCAGTTTAAGTGGCAGTGGCAACTTCTCAACATAAAACACACTTGCTGCAATCCAAACTGGATTTAAAGAGAGGTGAGCAACTGCCTTAGTTGTTTAATCTGGTTATATTTGAGCTAAAGTAGTTCACATTTTTAGAATGAACAAATCAAAGGCATAATTGTTTTTGTCATCTGCACAGCAATTTTACTCCTGAATGCATTGTTTTAGGCAGGAATTAATAAAAATTGCATGCGCTTCAGGTGCTGGGTAGATCACCCTTTTCCACATTGCCCAGCCTGAAGCTGTGAATGCTCCTTTTCTTATTATCAGTTAATAATTCTCTCTCATTGAGGCAAATTAGGAACTTGACTGTGTTAGAGAGTCCAGAACACTGCTAGAGGCAAAAGGGGGCTAAATGGCAGAAATTCCTCTCTGAGCAAGATGCATGAAGCACGACATTGTGTCCACCACAAAAGCCGCTCTGTATTTTTGATCCTTTCTAATTTAATTAGCCCAAGAGGTAGCGCATTAATTTGCCAAGAATTCTTCTGATGCGAAAGCTGCCCTTATTGCAGTGAAGGGAAAAAATAACCTGCGTGCTACAGTGGCATGCCAGTAATGAAAGGGGGTTATTTTTGTGTTACAAATGGCATTGCAGGGTTACAAGAGACCTTTAAACCTTTTTATCTCTGGTTAGGTCATATGTAACACAGTACAACACAAAGCACTAATTAACCAATTCTGGTCCAGAAATCTTTTAGAACACTTAAGAGAGTTACCCAGTTAGAACCCAGGTCAAATGCATTGCTTTGTTTTGCATTTAAAAACTGAAAACATCTTCTGGTGTGTATATTAAAAAATAGAGCAAAAAATTATCAATCGACAGTTCAGTTACTCTATGGACTCAGCACACAAGACATTTATTCTGGTCTTTGTTTTCTTTCTGTTTAATGATATTCTTTATGTGGGCAAGCTGGAGCCTTGAAGTCCCTTAGAAGGTCTCTTCTCTCTTTATGCTGTATTTGTTTGGTAAATTGTCTCCATGTTAATCTTCTTCATCAAATACTTGGAGTCAGTTTTGAAAACCTTTGATCAGATCTACCACCACCACACATCTTCCTCACCATGTGCTTCTGATATGTGCTCATGCACTCAAACGGGTCATTTACTCATTAAAGAATGAGAAACATGCATGCTACCATGATAAGTCCTCCCCAATACTTTGATCTGTTAATTAAACCTATGTAATCATGTCTCCTGCTTGCAGAACTATTGCTTTTCTAGAAATTACAGGATCCCATTTAGGGACTTTCAACACCCTTGTCGTTTTTCCTCATCACTTTCCAACCCTGCTGCCTGAATGTGGCTTGTTAAAATAACTCCTGAGAATTATTACATTTTACATTTAATTCTCCTGTCCCTTTAATGAAAACCAGTGGAAGACAATGGCTTTAAAGTAAAGCACTGATATTTTCCTTCCTCCCTGCTTCTGGCTAGAAATCTGTGAATTAAGGAGTGGTGGCACTTAAGAGTATTTTTGGCTATGCATTATGAATAACCAGAGTCACCACAAGTAGCCTTTTATGGCATAGTGTAAGATTTAGTAGCCAAACTGAGAAGACGAAATTAGTATTATCGAGAGGTAGTGCTGGATGGAACCAGGCAGGAAGGCGTGGCCAGGTTGAGAGGGCAGAGAAAAGAGGAAAGAAGAACATTTGGAAAAAGAGAGGGATCTTTCACAAAAGCAACTTTGTGGGCAAGAGGTTTTTAAATTGTGAGGAAAAAAGTAACAGTGAGTGGGCGTTAATTGCAAGGGAAGGATGGGGTTGGAGGGAGAATTAAATAAGAAGAACATCTTAGTCTATCAATGTTTTCTCATGGACAACAATATGAAACAATCTCATTTATTAAAACAGAGATTGTCCTATCATCAAAAAGTCTTTATTTTTAAAGGCAACATCCTTCTAGAAATTTTTGTCTGAACCTAAAAATACCTTTCAGATTTATACTGTATATTTAAAAAAAACTTTAATTTTTGTTTAAAAGTTTTCAACGTATATATATACATATATATATCTTTATTTATTTATTTACAGATTCTGTTTAAAAACCAGCAGCTACTTAGTAAAATGACAGCCTTCTTACTTCAATTTAAAAATCCATATGTAGTATGATTAATATCACCACATAGGAACAAGATAACTCAGCTGAGAATGTGCTTTTATGGATATATGTTAAACTGTTCTCATTTTTCCAGGTTATCCAAGAGATTTGAAAGGGTAAAAAGATTTTTTAATACACAGTAAATACTTCTGAAACAGTGAATTAAAATGAAAAACAGATGACACATTTATTCAACTTTTCGCTTCTGTAACATCAAACAGCACATTTTCTTCAAATGGTTTCATCAGTGGACTGGGAACCTCTTAAATTGATTGACTCAAACATGTCACTTATTTGATGATTGGAGGTTTATAAAACAGTCCCTACTTTTTTCATCTGCTGACATGTTACGTATCTCTCACAATAGATTAAAAGGTAGCATCTAGTCTCATGCTTTCTCTACAGATAATTTTAACTTTTCAACTAAAATGAAGATACAAAGTATGCTAAGAGATGCCTTGCAATTTGGAGTTATTATTTTTATTAGGTTTCTTATTGTAAGACTGATAATGGTGATTTAAATACTATCTACAAAAAGAAAAAACTGAACAATTTACTTTTTCAAGGGTGATATGCAAGCATGCAAACTTAGTCAAAGCAATAGAGGAAAAACAAATGACAAGCATTTGCAATGTGACAGGAAAAAATGGCAAAATCATTAATTTAAGCCAATGCTAAATAAATAGTAAGAAATTACTTTCAATGATGTGATAAATTAGATGTTTCTCCGAGTTCCAGATACCTTTATAATCTTAAGAGACCACAGCAGAGCCAGGACAGTTTACCTACATCTGCTTTAGAGATAAACCTAGTGCCCTCAGATCTCAATTCCTACTTCCTAAAATACCACGAAGCCCACACCAGGGTACTCAGGTCTGAGAATGCACTTATTTCTGAGAGTGCATATGTCCCTGGAAATCTGTTGACATTTAAATGACAGCACTCTACAGCACTCTCAGTTGGGTAAAGTTGAAGAGGAACAAACAAAGTATAATTCTCCCTGAAGAAAAACAGAGTGAAAGACCAAAAGCAAAAAACAGATGTCTCCCCAAACATACCAGAAATGAAGTAGGGTATTTAGTCAACTGTACCTTGACCATTTAGCATGGGCCTGAAATGAATGCCCTGAGGGGATGTACCAGGTGGGTCATAGTCCTCACAGACTACACACTGAAGCTTAGAGAATGGACTCTGTACAAAGATGTCGGCAGAAAAACTATCCAGGGATGGAACATCCCAGAACAAAGGACAGCAGAGAGCAGGTACACATGAGGTCTGAAAGATCAAAGGAAGAAATGGTTACCACAGCCCTAAGAGAGTGTGTGCCGAGGATCACTTACTCAACAGGGACTGTGCTTTGCTAGAGCGCCCCAGCCAGCCCGCAGCCAGAGAAGGAATCAAGGAATCAACATCCCAGTCCCACTCCCTTCCAAGAACCCTCTGCTCTATCATTGTCAGTCTTGACAGAGACTAATGAGAAAGCAGAGGGCAGCACCTAGAATTAGTCTCCCTGGCAGACAGTGGACTGGAAGCGCAGTCATAAGATAACCAGTACAGAGCTCTTATTATTTAATAGTGAAGACACATTGCTTAACATTTTACAAAATGTTATCAGAAACAAACAAAAAAAGTGTCTTTTTCAGATAGAACATTTGACAATACTCTGGGATTTTTTTAAATACATATGTATACACCCATATACTGAATTATTTTCAAAACAAAAACAGAAGTCAAATTATAAAACTATAAATATTAAGATAGATAAAATTATAAAATATAAAAATACATAAAATTATAGATAATTTTGAAAACTGTGCAACCAGCCTTACTTTCTCTACTATTGAGAAACAGAATCTATCCAGTTAAGATATTATAACATATGAGGAAAAGTAAGAGGAGGAGGAGGAGGAGGAAAAAAGTGAGGGTGGGAAGACAGATACCCAAAAGGGAAAAAAAAATTGAAGCATGGTTCTTTATTTTCCTATTCTACCCCGCAATGCAGACCTGGAAAATGTATTAACCCTTAGAAGCTGGAATACCTGGATCCCTGAATCTAATAGCTCTCTGGACCATTTTAGAAACAACGGTTTTTCTTAGGAAACTGCTGCTTCCCACCTTACTTTCTAAACAATCTTAGGAAGAAGACACCTAGAAATATGGAAGTACCATTTTCTAGTTGGTAGGGAATGAGACACTGAAAACCTATTTCCACAACGAGTCTATTTCAGATCTAGATTTCTATTCTCCACTCATGATCCAGCTTTCCTTGTCTCCAGTATCAATGAATGAGGCTCCATTGGAGACACAAGGGATCCCAAGTCATGGGTCATACAGAGATAGGCTTTACATATGCAATCTCAAGGGACAGTTTCTGATGAACTGCTTCCCTTCTCACTTTCCTGACCCTGCCAAGCATTCCCCTACCTGTGCAGAAGATAGTTTACTAGTACAACTGAAAACATCTAAACTACTTCCTCATTGTCCTGTCATGTTGAAAACCAACCTAAGTACATCTTTCTACCTTTCCTCATCCTCTCCTTCATTCTTTCCTCTTTTTAACATGCATTTGTTTTATTGACATTTACTGAGCATCATTTTGCTGCCATTGTGCGAAGATGAGGATACAAAACAATACATCAAGATTCCTAATCTTGAGCAGCATGCAGTGCAGTAAAAGACACAGTATAACACTGTCCTTTCCGACACTCCTGGAACACAACAGAACATATATGGTACACATGTGTACCATAGGCATAAATAGGTATGCATGATTTCAGATATACATAGTCTTAAGTCTGAAATACCACCAATCCCTTGGGGAAAGATCCTCCCTGACTTACCACACTCTCTTCTGCCATTCTTCCTATGTCTCCTGATCTCTCATTTCAACAGGTTTTTAAGAACTGAACATATGCAAGGATGTTGAAGCCCACTCAGAATGGGAAACACATAAGTTCGTTCCTGGATGAGGGTTAAAAGTGGTAGGAGTTGGTAATCAGCTCTAGAAGAAACAGAAGGAAGTAAATAAAAGGATGATATATGGAGATGAAATTATAAAGACGTGGTAAAAACTGAAGACTAAGATTCCCTTCAAATAATATTTTATATCTTTCTAATATTTCTTTCACTAAAATGTAATCCTCTAGAAACAGACCTAAAATTTAATCTTTAGAACAAAATTTCATAAGGACAAGTAATATATAAGAAAGTTGTTTCATTGTGTTGTTATTTTTTTCCCCAAAGCACCTGCTTTAAGACAGAACACATATATTTGCAGAGCCATTAGAATCACCTGGGGAGCTTTAAAAACTATCAGGTCCAGGTCCAAACCAGACCAATTAGACTAAAATCTTTGGGGTCAGCCCAAGCATCAGTATGGTTTCAAACTCCCCAGTTGACACTACACGTAGCCATGGTCATAAGTAATAAAGATATATTTAGACATATGATTATAAGTTATATGCCTATCATCTTTTAGTAAAAGAAAATTCTTTGCAATGTTTTGTTTTTGATAAGTCATTGTCAATAATTTATTATAATAATCTATAGCTAAAGCTTTAAAGACTTTTAAAACTAAAGATGCTTAGGTTTTTGATATTACATAATTTTGAATAAAATATAGATGATTTAATGCTTAATAATAAAATGAGCCACCTAGAAATATAACAATGTCTTTTTAGGTAGACAGAGCTTAGACCAGAATAATGAGGCAAAGTTTTTATTCAAGCTAGTCCCTCCCACCCACATACTCTTTTTCCTCTTCTAGCCCATGCTTGGAGTCTATTGTAGAGAAATTAGTCTAGCAATTTTAAATATAAGTAATGTTGACTTAGAGGAACTCTAAAGTCTACTTCATCTAAATTGTCAATAATTTCATAGCTATGTTTCCTTTTCAGTCATTTTAGTAAGCAGTGCAAGTCACTGTTTTTGAGTCCATTCCCACAATTTAGGCAACAGTGACTAAGATAGGCTTGCGCTGTGTGCAGGACAGCTACTGAAATAAGGAGGAGCTTAGTCTTTAGAGGTATGCTTACAAGGTATGGAAACCCAGATTAGCTCTGGCATATAAACTACCAAAAATGTTCTTGTTAACTGGGCAACATATTTTCAAAAGGTGCAGAATCCACTTTGTTTCTATCACTTGTCAGAGTTAAGCATAAACGATGTACAAACAAACAAACTGTGCCAGTATAAAATGTAATACTTGTTTATGAGACACTTCCAGAATCTGACAGTGGCCCTCTGTTAACAATATTTAGGCCATAACTATATCGGCCAAATTTTACCAAAAAAAAAATTCTGACGCTTCTGGTAATGTTAAATAGCTTTATAACTTCCTTTGTATCTGGTTTCTAATCTCAGATTAAATCAGACCAGAGTTATCAATTTTAATGATCATAATGTCACACTAAACAAAAAGATAAATAAGATGAATAAACTAAGAACCTGTGTATATTGTAGGCTCACATTCTCTTAATCCTGGACTCTGTATGCTTTGGAATTTTATAAACCAGTAAAACATCTCCCAAAATGTTAAAAGGTAAAAAAGAAAAAGAAAAGTTACAATTTTTTTTTAATTTTGCCAAGGAAGGATATTAAATGAGGAGAATAAAACCAGATCCACTATTATCATTACATCATTATATCAGGTAACACTATAAGAGTAGGAAGTATAGACTCTGTCAATAAAGGATGGTTCAGTAAAAATAGTACACTTAATGAAATTTTTATCATTTTCTTGAATATCTAATTTCACCGCAATCCAGTGAAAATGTCATCAGAGATCAGCCTGGGTCCACTGACTAGTACTCTGGAGCCACTGTTCTCAGGGTATTCGTCTAGACTCCTGCCTAGTTTCCTGGAAAATTCTGCCTGCAATCTCATTCATACCTGGGCAGAGATTCCCTTCTGGTCCTTTTAAAGGGCAACTAGCGTATTCATGACAAATCTGAAAGGAGTACTTCTCCATCCAGTTTAGAAAATACGGTTTTACCAGAGCTTGCAAAAACATTGGCAAACAGCAAAACAGTCGCTTTCCTCAAAAATACAATGCATATGAAGTCACAGTCCTTTTTGTTTCAAGTAAAAGCTTTGGCAGAAACTAAGACAAAGAACCTGATTCCTGTGAATCAGAAAAAGAACTTATGGCCTGCCAGTCTTGTAAGCTTAGAGTTTTCCATATTGCATGTGATTTTATAGATTTAGCTAAAGTACAGCAAGATTGCTTTATCTTACAAGAGCATTTATTATTTGATATTCAGGACAATAGTAATAAAAATTATCTTGTTCATTTTCTAAAGTCACAACATTATAAGACTGATCTGCCATGACTGAGATAGATTCAGTACTACATAAAGAAATTTTCTTCCCCAACTGGGCAGGATATCTGTAAAATTACCCAATGATCCTGTTTTCTGTTATTACAATGACATTCAGATAGTTTATTCCAAAGCAAATACTTATTTTAAAAGTCTGGAAACCAGTCATTTGATGCCATTTGAAACATTGAGAACATCCTACAAAAGAATTGAACTATAGATTTTAAGTTAACTGTAAATTAACTAACTTAATTATAAAAAAACTTTTTATTTATTTTAGTTTTTCTTTGTTTTTTAAAAATTTATTTAAGTTTTTCTTAACAGTACTCTCATCTTTGGTAAAGAGAAAAGATAGCTTTATTAGTCTGTTAATAATTACGTCTTTCTTAATTGATCTGTTTCTGCTCTTTTTTCAACCATAATCTCAAACCCATAGATGCATTTCAGGGGATGATGGTGCCAACACACAAGAGAATGTCCCTGAGTTTTCAATACCCCACATTCATGGTGATGTTGAACTTTAACTACTTTGAAACCATTTATATAGAACTGCAGGACCACAGAATGGTTCATAATGAAAGAAAATCTTGCAGGTTGTTTTTCTCCCCAGTGTTAAAGACACAACTCAAAATGATGAGAGGACAAGAACATAAAATGGAAGTTCTTACAAGGACTCTGAACAGGCAACAGGAAGAACTATGCAATCAAAAATAAGTAATAATTAAATTTAAGGTGCTTTAGCTAGCTGCAACACAAAAATTATGAATAATTAAAATCAAAATCGAATCAGTCAATTTAAAATTTTTTATTTGAAATCAAAATCGAAGTTTTGTAGTAAGGTACTTCACCTGGAAAAAAGAGTAGCCCAGGTTTAAAATGTTTTAGTAAACAAAGACCTTGTCTTAGTTCATTTGTACTGCTATAAAAAGTATGCAAGAGCTGGTCGCGACGGTGCTGGTGGGTGAAGATGGAGCTGTGAGAACAACCCAGGATTGGAGCTCTCCTTGAATCCGCAGAGAGGTGAGTCGGAGCTGCATTTCCAGACTGATCTTTGTTGCCCACAGAACGGGGAAATTCCCAAGTATAAAGGAGACGCAGGACGCCAGGCAGTACCTCTGCCTGGTGAAGCCAGCAGCCGGGGTGGCGGCGGCCAGCCCTACCCAGCGCTCCCCACAGGGCACGCTTGTCTGGGTGCCCTGTTGAACCGGCAACCAGAGACTTCAGAGGGCTGGACTTGAGACTGAACAAGACTTGGACAGTGGGCCAGCCCAGGGGATTGCAGGGACAGAGGGTTTGTGGTAGCCCAGTGAAACGAACAAAATTGTGATTTCAAACGATCCGCATGCAGAGTGTCCGAGACACTCTGTGGGGGAGGGGCATCCACCATTACCGAGGCAACTCGCCCCAACTGAGATACACGCCCACTGCTGACGCAGCCAGCCATTGCCGAGGCAACCGTCCCTACTGAGATACACGCCCACAGCTGACACAGCCTGCCATTGCCGAGGCAACCCACTACAACAGAGAGACTCCACTGCAGGGCGTGGCAGAGACCACAGCAGAACAGCAGAGCCTGCAGCAACAGGGCGAACCACACAACAGCAGGGCGGAGCCTCGGCAGGCAAACAGTGGCTAGTCTGCCTCCTAGCTGGGCAGGACACCTCAACAGAAATCCAAAAATAAAGCCCGAACCCCTGAACAACGAGCATTTGAGAAAAAAAGGGTTTTTTTAATGAGCTCTGTTGCAGCAGAATCAAACATAGCAGCCTAACAGCCCTGAATGAACAACAGAGCTCACAGCTCAGCAATTGAGCTCCTATAAAGTACAGACTGTCTCCTCAAGCAGCTCCCTGACCACTCTATATCCAAAAGACTGACATTTGGCAGGCATCATCCTGGGACAAAGATAGCAGAAAAAGAAACTGGTAGCATCCTTCACTGTGCCACAGCTACTAGAGGTGCACCCCAGAGAAGCAGGGCCTGGAGTGGACCTCAGCAGTCGTACAGCGAAGGGGTTAGACTGGTAGAAGGAAAACCAAGTAACAAAAATACTTCATCATCAACAATCTGGGTGTCCACTCAGAGACCCAATCGAAAAGTCAGCAACTATGCAGACGACAAGCGGAAAAATCCACAAAGATGGGAAGAAACCAGCGAATAAAGGAGGAAAACACCCGAAACCAGAACACCTCGCCTCCTAGAAAGGACCAAAACTCCTCACCAGCAAAAGAAGAAAGCTGGACGGAGAATGACTGTGACGAAATTACGGAATTAGACTTCAGAAGGTGGATAATGAGAAACTTTTGTGAGCTAAAAGAACATGTATTAAATCAATGCAAAGAAACGAAGGAACTTGAAAAAAGACATGAGGAAATGATAACAAGAATGGATAACTTAGAGAGGAATATGAATGAATTAAAGGAGCTGAAAAACACAATACGAGAACTTCGCGAAGCATGCACAAGTTTCAATAGCCGAATTGACCAAGCAGAAGAAAGAATATCTGAAGTCGAAGACCAACTCAATGAAATAAAACGAGAAACCAAGATTAGAGAAAAAAGCACAAAAAGGAATGAACAAAGTCTCCAAGAAATGTGGGACTATGTGAAGAGACCTAACCTACGTTTGATAGGTGTACCAGAAGGGGACGAAGAGAATGAATCCAAGCTGGAAAATACTCTTC